TACAAGTCTTACTGATCCCAAACTTTTGAACGGTAGTGTATATACTCATACTACACACGTATGTATATACACATGTACATACATACAGTGGGTACGGAAAGTATTCAGACATAACAAAGAGTGAAAAATTGAAGGGGGTCTGAATACTTTCCGTACCCACTGTATATACACACATACACACGTATAGTCAAGTACAATAAACAAAACAATATTAACTTATACATGTCCAAAAAGGAGTAGGAAGAAGCATAAGCATAAAATTGCAGAATGTCCAAAATTCACCACAGATGCTTTAAAAAGTTAAGAAATGTCAAATTCACACTCAGTTTCACTGCAGATTCAAAAGTCTTTACCGATTAGATTAATAGAGTTGTCATGAAATGTAAGAAAACGTGAGGGGAAAGAAAAAAATCATAGTTATTTTAGAATATTCAAGGAAAATAAACAAATAAATATAATACATGAAGTCTATCCATTCCCTTCCCCACTAAGGTTGAAAATCAAGAGTAAACAGCAGGCAATATGACAATAAGAAAACAAGCGTGTATAAAAAGTCTTCTCGTAACTAAGCATGAACGAGAAGGGGGGGTTTTTTCCGCTGCAGGCAATAAGCGAACCCCTGAGCTTTGGGTGGGTATAGAGGGGGGCGGCAGGGGCAGCTGCCAGAATGACCTCAATTGAGCAGCTGCACCCACTGTGCTGGGACGCCCAAGATGTGCCAGGACGGCTTTGATGCACCGCAACCGTCTCCACCATGCTGTTTAGTCAGGGGCCCTTGAACTTGGACTTGTTTGTTAATCCCTCTGCTGGCACAGCCCACCTTCAACATAATTCAAGCCGTGCCAGTGGAGTAGTTTGATAGGTGTCATATTGTTTTGTAGTGTTTTGGAAAGTCTAGATTTTCTTTTATAGTGTGCGAATACAGATATTAAAATATCAAAAAAGTCTAAGAAATTTCAACACCAAAATATTTTACTGATTTCTCCTGGCTGGTATTGTATTTAGAATAAAGCATTTTTATATTCGTAGATGTCAGATTGTTACATGATTTGCTTCGGCTTTTAAAGATAATTCCCCTAGTGGAATACTTTTATAAGATGTATAAAAGATGCATGACATCTGCATTCTGCTCTTTATACGGTATTCCATATGGTAAAATAAAGCGATCCACACTAAAGTACATCCTTGTTTCCTTCTGTGGAGTGATGAACTTTAAATTTGGGAATTTTAAGTGATCTATTCATTTCACAAGATGTAGTTTCAATAATTAGTCCAGACCATCTGAACTTTTTTGTATTTTTATATTTGCACTTTTGAATTCAGTGATGAATATTGACACATTTTTT